ACGACGTGAGCGACTGGGCAGCCGACAAGACGTGGACGTGGGCGAGGTGGGTGGACGAAGAGGACGGGGGCGTGAGCCAAGTGGGTGAGGCGGGCAAGGTAGACGAATGACATCGGGGACTTGGGTGACGTGGGCGAGGCAGACGACGTGAGCGAGGTAAGAACGAAATAGGCAAGCGTCGCACGCCGCGTTCCTCCAGTCCCTCGGCGCGACGCACATCGTCGACCACGCACTCCCCATCCCCGAGCTCCTCGCCGCGGTCTCCGCCGCCGCTTCGAGCGCGCCGGTGTCCTTCGCGTACGTCGCGATCAGGATGGAGGACACGCAGCGGCTCGCATACGCCACGCTCGGCGACCGCGGCGGCTTCGTCTCGGTGATGCCGCGCGCGGGCCCCGAGGTCCTCGCGCCAGTGCAGAGGGAGGGCGACGGGAAGCCCGTCGCGCGGCCCGTTCGCAAGCTTCCAGATGCCGCCGAATCAGGCACTAGGCGTCGGGGTGGACAAGCGGCTGACGGGGTGGCTCGCAGATGGGACAGTGAAGCCGAACTGGGGTGAGTGGACGAGAAGTCAGCACGTAGAAGAAGCGGAAAGAAAGTTAGAATGGCGGAGGGACGCACAGCGGGTGGGCCAGGAGCTGGGGACAGTAGAGCTGGCCGCCGGAGTACGCGCCAGGTGTCGAGCACTGCGAGCAGCTGCCCGCGCTTACGTGGTCGGAGTAAAAGCCGGAGCAGCTGTGAGCACACACGCACAGAGCACGGTCCATCGAAAAGAACGTACCAAGAGCAGCAGGCGGACGCACCCTCCAACGAGAACTGCCCCGCAGGGCAATCCTCGCACCGAGTCGCGCCGTCTCCTGGCTGGGATTACAGGTGGGTGTATCGACAACGCAGGAGCCCGAGTCGTAGTGGGCAAGCGGGCGATATACGAGACAGCGACAACCGCTGCACAGCATGGCCGCACCGGTGGAACGAGCTTCGTTGGGACGTGCTCGTGGTGGGGACAGGGTTCATGGTGCGGCCAGGGCCTGGCAAGGTGGTGGGCAAGATGGGGAGCGCAAGAGGGCAGAACGAGGGACTCACCAAGACAGCTCGTCGCGGCGGGCAAGGGGTGTGCTCGCGTGCTCCTCGAAGATGTTGCATCAGGACGAAAAGACGCGGAGGACAGGGAGGACGGGGAGGACGGGGAGAACAGGGAGGACGGGGAGGACAGAGAGGGTGCCAGCACAGACACGCTAGTAGCAGGCGCTGCCTCTGGAGGCGTGGGAATCAACGCGTGTCGCGTGCACTCCCGCCCTTGGCACTGCCAGCAGCGTCCTCGTCGTCCCCTTGACGTTGCCCTCGATCCCCTCCACCTGACTCCCGTCCTCGCCGCCCCGACGCCAACCCTCGCCCCGTCTTCTCCAATGCCGCGTACCGAGCCCAACTGCAGGGAGCACGACGTGCACTGACCCCTCTGCTCGAACTGCCCGCATCGCCATGTCGCCCACTTCGTCCGTCTCGCCTGCCTGGCCCGTCTCACCCGCCTCGTCCATCTCGTCTGTGTCGCCCACCTCGCTCGCGTTACCCCAGATCTCGCCTGTCTTGCACTGTCTTGCACCCGCGATCTCGCTCATGCCACCCACGTCCGTCGCCACCTCCGCGACGCCCGCATCTTGCCCCTCTGAGCCTACGTCTCGCACCTCGACCGCGTCCCCTGCGTTGACCGCGCGATTGCATCCCCTGTGTCACCCACCTCGCCCGCCTCGCCCGGTTTGTGCATCTGGCCCATCTTGCCCACCTCGCTCGTCTTGCCCTCGCCCGCCTCGCCCACACCCCGCCGTGTTGCCCCTTCGCCCTCGCCTGCCCTACTCACATCGCGCTTACCTGCGTTTGTCAATCCCGCCTCTCGCTCGTTGCTCGTCCCGCTCTCCTTGCTCGTCCCGCTCTCCTTGCTCGTCCCGCTCTCCTTGCTCGTCCCGCTCTCCTTGCTCGTCCCGCTCTCCTTGCTCGTCCCGCTCTCCTTGCCCGTCCCATCCGCCTCGCCCATCTCGCCCGCGTCGCACTCCCGTCTCGCGTCATCTATTTCACCCACTTCATCCTCGTCGCCTGCGTCTCACCCCTGCGTCGACATGTCACCCACGTCTCGCTCCTGTGTGACTGCGCGACCCGCCTCGTCCGCCCACGTTGCCTGCGTCCACGTCGCCCTCGCCCCCACCCACGTCGTGTTGTGTGTCCGTGCCGCCCACCTTGTCTGTGTCGCCTCCCTTGCCCGCGTCTGCGCCCGCGTCCACGACCCGCCTCGCCCGCGTCTGCATCATCCATGACGCTTACCTCACCAACCTCGCTCTTGCCTGTGTCACCCGTCTCGCCCGAGTGGATGTGTTTAGTGTCTTTGTTCGTAGTCTACTGTGTACCTTGTAGTGTAATGAACACATATATTTGCTTCTCCTTCACGTTTTTGTGATCTATTGATTGTGTTGGTAGTTCTGTGGGTCTCCGGAGATGCAGTAGTTAGTCACTGGTTAGACCCTGTGCTAGGTGTGTGTATTCCGACTAGACAGCAATGTCCAGTGATAGGTGAAGTAATAGTTGCAGATAGATATATTATATGAGAAGCTCAAGCACTAGTATCCCTTTAGTACCTGTTAGAAGGGTCAAAACTCAGTAGTCCCATTAGTGAAGCGATAGCACTAATATTATACTTGATAGTACTAATTAGGATTTTGGGGTTTTCCTGATGATTCATGTCCAAGAAGTTTACGTCTGCACAGCGATCTTATTACACCTACGAGCATGAAGCGCTTGGAGTAATTGAAGCGCTCCTCAAATGGGAAGATCGCCTTGCCGGACGCAAGTTCAATATCGTCACCGATCATCAAGCTCTGACGAAGATGAAGACCGCGTCGAGAGAAACTCGGCATGGTCGTCTGCTTCGCTGGACCGAATACATTGATCGGTTCGATGCTACGGTCATCCATGTAGCGGGCGAAGACAATCGGGTCGCCGATTGCCTGTCCCGCTACTATGAGAATGACACACTAGAGGACGAACACTCACCTGAGGTCTTCATGAACGCTGATGCGCGTCTCGATCCCGAAGGTGAGGATATGCCGGATACTCGCATCGCCGAAATCCTGGAGCAGCACGAGCGTGTGCTGCGCCAGCACGCGATGCAACTTCGCCCGCCGCGCCCGCGACGTATCGACCCTGACAATGCTGCTGAGTGGCCGGTTAAACGGACACGCAAGCCGAAAGACAAGGTCGAAGAGCGTCAAGACGAGGCGGAAGCTATGCGCGAACACGCCGAACCGGTGACATCATCGGTCCCACGTAGTTCGCCTATGCCCAATGAAAGCGCTCAGGGCACCTCGGGCAGTGTTTCGGTGCGCGATGCGCTCCAGAACGGCCCCCCACTGGAAGCGAATCTGTTCGCAGACAAAGAAGTGGTGAGAGCGATTAAGAACGGGTACAAGGATGACACTACATTCAGTAAGGTCGTCTTGGACCCGTCCGCATTCGCCAACTTCTCCATGGGTGATGACGGCCTGCTGCGGGTGTCGACACGCACCGGATTTGAGTGCGTGTGCATACCTCGCACGCTTGTACGCAAGCGATCGCTGCAGGAAATTGTCATGTCCATGGCTCATGAGACACTTGGGCACCTAGGACCACAGCGCACCGCCGAATATCTGCGACGGTGGGTCTGGTGGCCAAAGATGTCCAAGCACGTCTACGCATTTTGCGCGACTTGTGGAACGTGTCAGATGTCAAAAACGAGCCCGCTCAAGCCGAGCGGACTCCTGCACACGCTCCCAGTTCCGGCCTATCCAGGTCAATCCATTGGCATGGATTTCGTTGGACCGTTCCCAGAGTCCGGGGGCTACAACTACTTGTGGGTGATAATAGACCGTCTCACAAGTAGAGTAACCCTCGTACCTTGCAATGTGACCGATTCGGCGTACAACCTTGCGTCTCTTTTCATAAAGGAGTACGTTCGGCTGTATGGCATCCCCGAATCGATAGTTTCGGACCGAGATACGAAGTTTACCTCGCGATTTTGGAGCGAGGTACACCGTATGCTCGGTACCAGGCTATTAATGTCTACGTCATTCCACCCGCAGACAGACGGTGCAACTGAGCGTGCAAATCGGAGCGTTGCTCAAATTCTGCGCTCAATTGTGCTGCCTGATCAGTCGGACTGGGCGGATCAACTCCCCCTAGTGGAATTCGCTATCAACTCAAGCATCAGCGCGTCAACAGGATTTGCGCCGTTCGAACTGACGTACGGCTACGTCCCGACGATGAGCCGATTTCCGGCGGTTGAAAAGGCTCTCCCGGGTGCACGCGACTTCGTCGAGCGTGCCCGAGTGAACCTTGAGCAAGCGCACGATGCTATCATTGAAGCACGAGTGGTCTCCACGCACCAAGCGAACAAGCACCGGTCGCGTGAGGACGTATCACTCGAGCCTGGTGACAAGGTCTACTTGTCCACCAAAAACCTTTCGCTACCGAAAGGGCGTGCACGCAAACTGGCGCCGAAATTCGTCGGCCCATTTGTGATATTATCTGCACACCCTGAAACCTCTACGTACAGGCTAGATCTGCCCGCCGAACTTAAGCAACGGCGGGTACATCCAGTCTTTCATGCGAGTCTGCTACGGAAATACGAACCTAGCGACGTACACTTATTCCCTGCACGCGAAACGCAGCGGTTCTACGATTTCGGCGTACCAGATGACCAGGAATGGCTGGTAGACGAAATTGTTGGACACCGCTGGGATGGGAATAAGCTAGAACTCATGGTACGGTGGACCGTGGGCGAACACACATGGGAAGAGCTAGCAGAATGCGAAAACTTGCGTGCCCTTGACGATTACCTTGCTCTACTCGGCGTAGCGGACACTTCGGGCCTGCCACGCCGTGAGGTAAGCGCCATGGGCATCAGCCATGCGCTACAACCCGAGATAACGGGAACGAGAAGCCGAAAATCCGAAGATCGGCGCAGATCGCAAGATTAACAGCCCGATAAGCTCAAGTAGGGCTTCTCTGGTGCTCGCACCTGCACCTCACCCGCATCTTTCGCACTTCCACGCTCCCACCATGTCCTACCCACCGAACCAATACCAACAACTTCCCATCGCGACGGATGCGCAGGGGCCCACGCCGAACGGCTGGACCCATGCGCCGCCGCCGCCAGCCTCAACTCAATATTATATCGCGACGCCACATGCGGCTCCAAACGCCGAAATTGCGCCGCCTGACGTCGCCATGAACGGCACGATCGACCCTGCGTTACTCACAACGTCGGTCGGAGGAGGAGGGGACTACCAACGCGACGCTGCGCACAACGCTGTAAGTGCGCTGCCGCCCCCTTCTGCGCCGTATCCGGGACAATACGCCGGATTCTACCATGCTGGCCGATACCCTGCTGCTGCTCAAGTTCCGCAGTTCGCTCCACCAGCATACGGACACTACGTGGACCCGCTCACTACGGTCACGCAGTCGTTCCTCACCACTCAGCAGTCCCTCATGGGGCAAGTCGGCGAACTCAATGCCAAGCTAGCCACTGCCGAACAC